TGTATTTTATTCAATAATTTTTCCCTATTCATTTCCTCTTGACACCAAAAGTCGAAGTCACCCCTCTGAAGCTAAAGGGATGAAAGCTCCTGTGAAAAATTTGCTAAGTAATGACAACTGACTTGTTTTTTCCCGCCAACCCAGTTTGTTTTTTTTTCCTCAATAATTTATTTTTTTATTTAATCCTTGTAATAATAGTAGTTCTAGTCAATACACTTGATTAGTAAGAATATTTTAGAAAAAAATACATATTTATTACAAATAACTCATTTAACTGATTTTTTTAATCTATTTAAATTAGTTAATTAGTTCTTATATTAAGGACTGAAAGTAATATAAAATATGTATTAATAATTGTGAAACTTGGCCCATGGACGAGAATATATTTTGCCTTGTTGAGGGGATCTAGACATGGTGGGACCTTAACGAGAAAGACTTTAGTTGACTTATAACTCTAATATAATAACCATAAAGCTTATGTTCAAATAAATTTTCCCATTCATTTTTTTCTTCACAACAAAAGTCAAAGTCTGCCCTCTAAAACTAAAGGGATCAAAGCTCCTGTGGAAAATTTGCTAAGTAATGACAACTACCTTATTTTTCCCCCACCAACCCAATCCGTTTTCGCCCCTAGTAATTTATTTTAATTGTTATAGACAAATATTTAAAACTTTGATATATCACTGTAAAGTAAACAAGAAGCTTGGGTGTCGGTTACAACTCGAAATAAGCATATATCAATATTTCTGGTCCATCTACATGCAATTAATTCATAGTGTGACATAGAGATACTGTATATGTAAACTCGTTATAAAATTTATATTTTATATTTATGGGAGTGGTTTTGATACTTTTGGTTTAATTTAAACATCTCAACAAATTGCGAGGAAAGTTAGTGAGTTGTTATCAGTCCTTTTCTGTGATACCTTTTTTTTGCTCGAATTTTCTTCGGTAAACTCTTTAAGGGTCTCCCTTATGAAACCAATAATTGGACAAAGGTATTTAATTTCTTGTTGACAAGTACTATTTTTTTTACCAATGATTTGTTTTCTTTTTTCTTGAATCCATTTTGTTTCGTTTCTTGCATCAAGGTCTCATGGAAATTTTTTTATTCTCCATAAATATTCTCTTATAGTAGTTGAATGGAGCTTTCCACGAAACTGCATCAATTTGAAATCAGAGCATAGATTATGATTAATCGTGAAGCCTGGGACAGATACTTTTGTCTGACATGTGGAAATTAAATTAGAGTGAAAATGGTGGTTCGTTGTTCAATGTTCACCTTGGAGAGGAATCAGACTATACTTTTCTTTGCCATTTTTTTTCCTAGAAGTTTTCTGAATAGAGTGAAAGTCATAGTTGAGAAAAGTCCAGGTATGATTTTTATTTTCGCCAAAGAGGACGGGTGTGATTGACAAGAAACCATCAATTTAAAATGAAATTTTAATTTACAAGTTGAAAATTAAAAAAAATTAAAATGTTGTTTCCTTCCAAATAACTAAGATACAATACTTTTTTTTTTTTTTTACCAGCAACTAAGATACAATAGTTAAACGGGAAGTTTGGTGCATAATTAATAGTCCAAATATCCTTTTCTCTTTATAATCTATGTAAGCCATTTATATCAACATAATCCGTGAAGCTATGAGGAGAGAATGGCCTAAAAATACATTAAAATAATGGAAAGATATTTTAATAATTCTACTTCAATTTCTGTGCATGGCATCGGTCATATGAGTTCTTGAAAGAGCAAAGGGCCATGAAATAAAACTATGGTCTTAAGAAAATCAAGATCCAACTTTAAAGTGTGATTTTATGAACTAGCATTCATATTATTTATTGAAGCGGAGAAGCGAAATGCAGGTAAATTTTTTTTTTAGTAGCATAACATAAAAAATTAGATAAATGTTTTAATTTTTAAAATTAGTTTTCAAAGTTTAAGTAAAATTTTGATCCTCTGGGAAACATTGATCTTTTGAATCCCTGGAAAAATTGTATAAAATACCTTATTCATTCTCTTGAAAGAGCAAGTTTAATTATATGAGAAAATACAGGTTGGTCCGTAAAATAAATTTTGGATAACTCAACATATGAGTGGCAATGACTTCTGCGTCTTAACTCTTAAGTAAGCAGCTCAGAATTCGATTCTCAACCATCATATATGAAGTTGTAGAAGTTTTTTAAGGATAATTAATTTTTGTTATTGGCAGAAAATACTTCTCATCCATAGAAAAATGTATTTTAGCCAAATATAATTTAAATTTATAAAATAGTACTTTCAGCCTATTTTGAAATTATAGTCGCATACTTTTTTTTAATAAAACTAAGGACATATTTTGAAAAGAAAAAAAATTATTTTTTTGCCAATTGAAAATAAAGATTTAACGTCACATAAGCACGGTTACGATAAAATAAGGATTTAAGAAAAAAATGAAGCCATCCCTCGCGCTAAGAATATTGTAGACTATGAAAGTGGCAAAATGGTATTTCTCCTTTTAAATTAATTAGATTTAAGATCACATTTTCACCGTTTTGAAATGCCGCCAATAAATTAAGAGATGGATTTTTTTTTTTGGCTTCTGAATTAAATGATGAATTTCAACTTTTAATTGGAAATAAATGTTATATCTGTTTGCGTGTTTCTGTGTGATAAAATGTTTGGTTATAAAAGATAATATTACTTTCATTTTTAATTATAAGATCTCATTTGTAGGATCAGATGTAGTAGTTTTGTCGTGGCAAAATAATAATATCTTGCAAGAGCACAGTATCCAACACTAGCAAAATTCTCAATATTATGAGTTCCGAGAAAACATTGTCATTTATTTTTATTGAAATAATATCTTCTGATGACTTTTCTTCATCGGAAAAGTATACAAGTTACTAGCTAGTTTTGTTATTTTCGAAACTCTCTGTATATAAAAGCCTATATTTATTTATGTTATTTTTTCTGGTAATTATCTAGTTATGCCTATATTTAGTTATTTTATTTTTTCTGGTAATTATCTAGTTATGTTATAATTAATACTACCTCCGGTCCTAATTATAAAACCCAATTTGTAGACTACAAATCTAGTGTTATAATTAGGACCGGAGGTAGTATCATATAACATTTTATAAAATATCAAATTATGTGACTTAACTTATAGATAGTATTTTTAAGGATGTGTAGGTAATTATGTAAGCGATTGAGGGATTTGAAATCAAATTATTTATCTCAACCCAGCCAAAAAAAAAATTATGTATATCTAAATATTTCTTCTCGTAGAATTACATGTCGTCTATTTCTAGACGAAGCTAAATCTTTCCCAACCATCTATTAAGCTATGCAGCCTATAGACAATAATGATTATTTATCTATAGTTTGCATATCGAATGCAATTCAGCTCACAATATCCCCAGTTACAAAGGAATTTGGATATAATACAAGAGCATACATATTTTAATTGTTCATTTAAAAGTCGAATAGTTTAAATTTTATTCTAATTTATTCCCAATATTTTAATGTCTTTTTGTTTTCACACCAAATTTACAAATAAACATAATTTTCATAAATTATGATTTATTTAAAGTAAGACTTTAATGTACAATATATATATGTGTGTGTGTGTCCTATGTAAAGGTAAGATCATTGCAGCTTCGTGATGACTTATTTTAGTCTAATATAATCTAAGACGGCCGTGAAGCTTCTGGGAAAATCAGTGAGGGAATATACTTTGCCTTTTTTCCATTTGAGGGAGATTTCTACATTGTGGGGGCAAAAGGAGGAAGACTTTAATTGACTCGTAATTTTATAATATAACAACCATAAATCTTATGTTGGAAATAAAAATTTAGCCGTCACAAGAGCATGGCTACAATAAGAAAAAGATTTAAAATTAAAAAATATGGAATCATCTAACTCGTTGCGCTAAGAATTAATATTGAGACGCATCTCATTTAAATAATCTAATATTGGAAATTACCACAATATTATTAGCTATAATTAGGACTTGCGATTCGATAGAACGATTGCGATTACGCGCGACAGGAGACTATATAAATACACACACACACATGAAAACTGCAAAATGGGTGCTAAAAATAAGAAGGAAATTTTTTAATAATTTAACATCTTTTAAAATGTTTAGATTTAAGATCATATTACACAGTTTTGAAAGGCCATCAATAAATTAAACGAGATTTTTTTTTTGGGCTCCTGTATTAAATGATGAATTCCGCCTTTCAATTGCGAGTGTTTTGTGTGCGAGAATGTTTTGTTAGAAAAGAGAGCATTTTTGTGCAAGCAAAATAATATCTTACAAGAGCACACTATTCGACACCAACAAAAATGCTCAATATTATGGACTCCCAAAACATTGTGCATGTATTTTTGAATTTTTATCCTTTTTCCAAAAAACAAAAAAGAGGTTGTTGAAATAACATTTCTCTCCACATCTACTCTGACTTCTCTTCATCAAAAAGTGTACCAGTGATCCATCAAAGTACAGCCCCACAATGAACTCTATAAAAATTCTACGTACCATCCGCATTTTACTCCTCACAACATCTCATGAGTTGAGAAAAATAAACAAAAAGAAACCACGGTTATCCAAGAACTGTGTGTTTTAATCCTCTCTAGTTGTTTCACTTTTGAACTTGTTTTGAAGCTACTTCATCTCTGTGATGGGTCGTGTGTTCAATTTTTGTTATGCATTATTGACATTGCTGTTGTTGCTACATACAAGACCTAGTTTGGCCACTGATGGTGAAGCATTGAAGAAGTGCATCGAGAAGGAGAGGAAAGCTCTTTTGATGTTCAAACAAGGCATCTACGTTGACTATGGTATGCTCTCCACAAGGAGGGACGGAGATGATGAAGATTGTTGCAACTAGAAAGGAGTTCGTTGCAGCAAGCAAACAGGTCATGTTCAAATTCTTGATCTTTCACCCCTTTTGAGAGGTACAATTAATATTACTTTGTTGAGTGAGTTGCATGATCTACAACATTTGGATCTCAGTTACAATAATTTCTATCAAAGTGACATCCCTCACTCCATAGAGTCATTCACCAACTTAAGGTATCTCAACCTCTCTTATTCTGATTTTGTTGGGAGTATTCCCAATGAATTGGGAAAGCTTTTCGAGTTGCAGCACCTTGATCTGAGTAACAATTACTTGGATGGAGCTATCCCTTGGCAAATCGAAAATCTTTCCAAGTTGCAGTCCCTTCATCTTGGAGGAAATTATCTTGTTGGAGTGATTCCTTATCAACTTGGGAATCTCTCCATGTTGCAGACACTACAGCTTGGTTACAATACGAATCTCACTATAGCCCGTAGAAACAATGGTGATGCAGAGTGGATACCAAAGCTCTCTTTATTAACAAATCTTGACTTGGGTGAAGTGAGTGGTGTTGGCAACTCCAAGATGTGGATGCAATTGATGATTGATAAAATTGTGCCATCACTAACAGAATTGAGACTTAGCAGATGTGGCATTTCTTATACCCATAACCTTCCTCTGTCTGCTTCTCATTCCAACTATTCTTCTTCTCTTATCACCCTTGATCTCTCTTATAATAACTTGAACTCATCATTATTTCAATGGCCCTTCAACTTCAGCTCCAGCCTTCAACAGCTTTATCTAAAAAATTGCAATCTTTCATCTCATAATCTCTACTTTCTATCTTCTCATCTTCATTTTCCTTCCCTAATTGTTCTTGATCTCTCTTATAATAATTGGAACTCAGTAACTACATTGAACTTTGGCTCAAATCTTCAAGCACTTGATTTGAGCAATTGTAGCCTTACATCAAATAATCTTATCTTCACATCCTTCAATCCCAACCTTTCCTCTCTTGTCCATCTTGATCTCTCTAACAATCAGTTGACATCATCAACCATATTCTATTGGACTTCCAACTTCACCTTCAATCTTCATGAACTGGACCTCTGTTACAATTCACTCAGCAGTTCCATTCTCGATGGTTTTGGGAACGTAATGAAGTCTCTTGAAGTTCTTGATCTCTCGAATAATAATCTCCAAGGTGAAGTCCCAACATCACTTGGAAATATATGCACATTGAAGAGCTTAGCACTTGTCAACAATAACTTTAGTGGGAACATTCCGAGATTCATTTCTAATATATCATGGTGCAATAGACATTCATTACAAGGTTTGTATTTAGGAGGAAATCGATTGACAAGCATCTTACCTAATATTTCAGGTTTTTCCGTTTTGCAAGATTTGGATCTCTCTGATAACCAACTAGAAAGAAAAAGACCTGAAAGCATCGGATTGATGTCTTAATTAGAATATTTGTCTTTGGATAGGAACAATTTGGGAGGTGTAATCACCGAATCTCATTTCAAAAATCTTTCTAATTTGTTAGGCTTATCATTGTCTGGCAATCCATTGACCTTGAACATTAGTGCTAGTTGGATTCCCCCTTTTTAGTTATACTCTATGAACATGGCTTCTTGCATGATAGGTCCTAATTTTCCAGTTTGGCTTTGTAATCAACATCAATTATCCTCTTTGGATATCTCTGATGGTGGGCTTTTAGGTTCTATCCCAGAATGGTTTTGGCCACTATTGAAAAATATAGATTACATGAATATCTCATTCAACAACTTTTCTGGTAAAATCCCAAATTTACCATTCAAGTTCAATTATTAGCCAAGAATTATTTTGAATTCGAACAACTTTGAAGGTGGACTTCCACCATTTCTTTGGCAAGCATCATAACTTTATCTTTCTAAAAATAAATTCTCAAATTTGATCCCACTTCTATGTGGCCAAGTTGAATATGGAGGCATTGTCATTTTAGACCTATCAAACAATCAATTAACAAGGCATCTACCTGAGTGTTGGAACCAACTGGACATAATAAAATTTGTTGACATGAGCAATAATAATTTGTTAGGAGAGATCCCATTCTCTATAGGACGCCTTGTGAATGTGGAGGCCATGGTTTTAAGAAACAATAGCTTGACTAGAGAACTTCCTTTGTCTTTGGCCAATTGCTCCAAGTTAGCATTATTAGATGTGTCAGAAAATAAGTTGTCAGGGCCAATACCTTCATGGATTGGGGTAAGCCTTGAACAATTGCAAATTCTAAGTTTACGGATGAATCATTTAAATGGAAGTCTACCCGTACATCTTTGCCACTTAACACAGATTCGACTCTTGGATCTCTCTCGTAATAACTTGTCCAATGAAGTTCCATCATGCCTTGAAAATTTTACTTTTATGGCACAAGAGCAAATCAACTTAAGCACAAGCTATCATTATTATATGACCAATACAACAGGGCCTTATCAATACGTTGATAGTTTGGAATTCTATATAACATTGATGTGGAAAGGTGAGGATTACACGTATATGAGGCCAGAATGGTTTCTTAAAAGCATTGATCTCTCGAGCAATGCTCTATCTGGAGAAATACCAAGAGAACTTATGTCTTTGTTAGGATTGGTTTCCCTAAACCTATCAAGAAACCGGCTAAGTGGAGAGATACCTATAAATATTGGGAATCTAGAATTACTAGAATTTCTTGATCTGTCAAACAATAAATTATCAGGCCCAATTCCTCCAAGCCTTGTTAATATTGATCGCTTTGGTGTGTTAGATTTATCAAACAATCATCTCTATGGAAAAATCCCAATAGGAACCCAGTTGTAGAGCTTTAATGCATCATCTTATGGAGGAAACCATGATCTCTGTGGATTGCCACTCAACAAGATGTGCCCAGAAGATAACACGCCTCCATCTCAAGAAGCCAATCACGATGAAGAAGAAGAGGCCTCATTGTTCTGTCAAGAATTTTACTTGAGCATGGGGTTGGGATTCGCTGTTGGATTTTGGGCTGTTGTAGGACCGTTGCTTTTCAACCAAACTTGGAGACAAGCCTACTATAGGTTTATGAACACAGTAACAGACAACGTCCACGTCATGGTTGCAGTTTATGTGGTTAAGTGCCTCACTATCAGAGACTAACTGCAAGGTAATGATTTATATTTTTCTCTTGCTGTTCTTTCTCCCATTCAACTCTTACTTATGATAATCATGTGTAAATTACTAGAGTCTATGTTAATATAGACAAACATTTTAACTTGGTAATGATGTTCAAATAAAAATCAAACTTGGACGTTGTATAAGTATCACGCTTTTGACTAACTTATGGGAAAACTAAGATAATAAAAATCAATCTTATCTATGGAATTACTTGGGAATGCTTAACATGCTACTCTATTTTTTACAGGATCTGTTTCTCCTAGAGTTTGGCATTGGCTGTAGTTATGATCCAAGTAATGATGGTTTGTTGCATGGATTTATGTTATGATTTGAAAGATATTGTACTTATAATAATGTTCTCTACTAGCATTTTATCGAACTGGTTATGTTTTGCTTATTGCCCTTTAAATATTTTCTGTTGCATGCTAACTGGGGAGATATACATGTGTGTATATATATATATATAACTCCAGCATAACATTATATAAGTTTCAAAATAATATTCCTTTTGAATTATCTATCTATTGGCTTTGTATTGATATGGCTATGTGGAGCTATTGATCAAATAATTTTGCTGAAGAACAAAATCTGGGGGTCCATAATTTCATGAAGTAGAACTTATACATTAGTTTGATTGAGTTGTGGCAAAGCATTGACGATAGATATCTTTGATCACTGAACAAATCAGTGCATCCAAAGGAAGGTTTTGTCCAACAGTTTTAACACTCCCTGAGGGATGAATATCCATAACAATGAAGTTAAATATTTCAAAGCTACTATGTTTTGATGTGAAGATTGTTCTGCGTGAGTTGTCTTTTGTATTTGAGATACTCTTCCTCTGCTTAAACCGCATAATATTGAAGAGAAAAGTTGTAAAACTTGGGATCTAGACATGTTAGAGAGCCTTGAATTTTTAGCTTTAGGAAGCTTACAGAAAACAACAATAAAAAGTGACATAGATAAACAGAGTCAATGTTTAGGCTACTCTGTATGTTATAATAATTGCCCCTTATGATACAAATCCCTTGCTTTGTGCTTGGGGACTGGACGTAGGACATATTGGTCTGAACCAGGATAAATGATCGTGTGCTTTCTTTCTCTCTCTTCACTTGTTTTATTTGTTATTTACTTATTTTTTAAAATTATATTCAAGGATAACGTCATGTTTCACAGAAATTTCACCATACAAAGTCATAGAAATAAAAAAAAATATTTTTGTGACATAATTAAACTTTTTCCTTAGATTTCTAGGTTAACACAACTCAAAAGATGATGCTCTAATGCATGTTCTTTAAGAATATTGTCCAAAAATACATAAGTTCGACTCTTAAGTATAGATAACTTCGTAAAGCAATTATAAATTTTAAAAAGTAGTTTGATTTTCTCAACATTTGTTCTGAAAAAATAGCTAATTTTTTTTTAAAAAAATGTTTAACACTAATGCGACAATCAAAGAGATTTAGTGGAATTACTCAAATCCGCATTCACACCTAGTAACCCCAAATCCCATGATATAAGCATTGATTCTAATATAATAGGGTCATCATCAATGTATCAAACAACAAAATTTATGGCAAGTTTTGTTATTCACACTCATTCATAAAATAATAAATAACATTAATTCAACAATAATTTTTTTGGTTATGAGCAATTTGAAACATTTTCTCAGAAGAGGGATCCACACGCTCCATTTTTTACTACTTTGAGGTATAAAATCCACGCCTTAAGGTACAAGATGTCATTGAATTAAAAGATGGTTCTCAACGATTTAATAACAACTAAGATTGTGTCTGCGTGTGTGTGTTGCAGTGCTTTTATATAGGAAAAGAAAAGGATGGAGCCCACAAACATGGAAAGGATCGTGATTGTGTGGTTCTCCATACAATTTTGGCTTCTTCTCCGCAAAGCAAGCCTTTGGAGTTCTAGAATTGGAAGTTGAGCACCATACACTTCTATGAGGAAAAACTCCCCAAAAAAAAAAATACATGTTGAATTTTAAAATTTCAAATCAGTATTAGTTACTATACTCATAAAAAAATAACTATACCCAAAAAGTAAATGACAATACATTGTTGTAGTAATTTCTGATTTGGAATTTTAAAATTTAACAATCATTTTATTAGGATTCTCCCCTTATATAAATATTTAAAATAGTACTTCTGATTTTTAATATAAATATAAGAGTTAGATAATTAATTTGTGAATATTAAAAAAATAGCTAAGTTAGTTATTTCTAATAAATAAATATTATTTTAAAAATATTTTATTAATCATATATACTAAAATAAAAACTATTTAACATATGAAATTTGTAAAAAAATAAATAAATGTAGGAAATAAAACAAATTGAATTTTTATACTTAAGTTCAGACATACAGTATTATATTGCACTACCTCTTATCCTAAATATAAGATCTAGTTGACTAATTTGAGGAGATTAAGGAAAGAAGTTAAGTTAGTTATTTGTAATAAATAGTTCTTGTCTTTAATAAAATATCCTGACTAATCAAATATATTGATTAAAACTACTATTATTACAAGGAATAACTTAAAAAAAACATAAATATAAGAGATGAAGTGGATTGGGGTCTTATATTTAAGATCAAAATAAAAGTTAAATGAGATCTTATAATTAAGACTGGAGGTAGTATTTTTTTTCAAGCTGATTGCATCATTCTAAACTTTTCTTTTGGGAAAATTTCAATTAAGGACCACAGTTGAGAATTTTCAAACAACCCCAAAACATTCTGAAATGTCACTGCAGGACTAAACGACCAAATTGAAATTAAATTAAGAGTAAGATTACAATAATACCCCTCATTTTTATTTTTCTAAAAAATAAATATTAATGGTCACCGGAGTTTCAGCCACCTGAGGTCGAAGGTCTGGCCACCAGCGCTCATGTGGCCGTTGCCAGAGGTTGGAGCTCTGGTGGCCGCTACTGTAGCTCCGATAGCTGGAAGATTTTTTTTAAAATAAGGTGACCAATGGAGGTTTGAACTCATGACCTATTGGCACACCAAAAGTGATGTAACTACTAAGCCAACAAAATCATTTAATCATATGATGCAAATAAAAATATATATAACAAAACAAACGCAAGTGTCCAAGTGTAAGTGAACAAGTGAAATTCGACATTTTACAAGTGAAATTCAACAATTTACAAAAAAAAAATTGGGGATTTACAAATAACATAATGGAGTTCACAACCCCAAATACAAGTATTTAAGTATAAATGAGCAAGTGAAATTTGAAGATTTACAACAAAAGTTTATGGATTTACAACCTAAATCCAGCTATTCACAAAAAACACAAGAAAATTCATAACCCAAAATGTAAGTATTTGAGTGTGAATAAACAAGTAAAATTCAACTATTTACAACCCAAATTCAGTGATTCATAAGAAACATAAACATTACAAAACTAATAAGAGAATTCACAACTCCACATACAAGTATTCATGTTTCTTATGAATCGTTGAATTTAGGTTGTAAATATCTTAATTGTTGTTGTAAATCACTAAATTTTACTTGTTCATTTACACTCAATTGGGTTGTGAATTCTTTTTTTTTCTTTCTTGTGAATCATCAAATTTGGGTTATAAATTCATGAACTTTTGTTGTGAATTTTTTTGTAAATCTTCAAATTTCACATGCTTATGAACTTTTGTTGTGAATTTTGTTATAAATCTTCAAATTTCACATGCTTATTTACACTTAAACACATATGTTTAGGGTTGTGAATTCCATTATGTTATTTGTAAATCACCAAATTTTTGTTGTAAATTATTGAATTTCACTTGTAAATTGTTGAATTTCACTTGTTCACTTACACTTGGACACTTGCATCTGTTTTGTTATATATTTTTATTTGCATTATATGACTAAATGGTTTGGTTGGGTTGGTGGTTACATCACTTTTGGTGTGTCAATGGATCATGGGTTCAAACCTTTCTTTGGCCACCTTATTTTTTTAAAAAATCTTCCGGCCACCGGAGCTACAGTAGCGGCCACTTGAGCTCCAACCTTCGATGGTGACCACCTGAGCGCTGGTGGTCAGAACTCTGGTGACCATTAAAATTTATTTTTTAAAAAAATAAAAATGAGGGGCATCGAGTGATGGTGAGTATGGTGAGTGCAGGGGTGAAGGAAGGTGACGGGGGTGGTGAGAAGGATAGTGAAGATAGGGAGAAAGGACAACCAACACGGGAGGGTAATGGCGGAAAACTTGAATACAAGTTCTCTTACAAGGAAAAGCTTTTGAGTCTAGGAGATTCGGGTTTCTTATAAACGAATAAATTTGCAGTTGATGCAATGAACGGATGGTGTGACTATTTTATAAAGATGTGCGTGGGGAACCAGACTGAGGCATGTGAGGAAGGAGAAGAGAGTACTGGCTATGATAGGGAAGAGACAGATTCATGGAGGAAAAAAGGAAAACTTCTATCCCTGAGAATGACAACTGATGAATATGCAGAATGGTGTAAACCATATATGAACTCTTTGATCATGAAGTTGATGGGGAAAACTTTTGGAGCGGGGTTCATGCAGCAGAGATTGGAACATATGTGGAGTCGAACAAGATCAATCAAGGTTATGCAAGCAGGTACAGGATCTAAATCTTTTTTGGGTCTTGTACGATAACTAGTCAAGAGACATAATATTGACTTCCTCGCTATTTTAGAAACTCGAGCTCAGTCTGATAAAGCTCGTATTATCTCAAGGAGGTTGGGTTTTGATAACATCCAAATTGTGAATGCCAATGGATTTAGTGGTGGAATTTGGGTTCTTTGGAAAAATGGATCGTGGAAGGTTGAGGTTCTCAAGACTCATGAACAATTTATACACCTAAGCCTTGACAATGGAACTCATAAATCTTTTCTTACTACTGTTTATGCCAGCCCGAATCCTATAAAAAGAAGAGTGGCCTGGAATGAGCTTTGACATATCAGTAACAATATCACAGGAGCTTGGCGCATTGGT